CCCGCCTGCCCCAGCAGAGCTGCAAATGAGTGTGCTCCTGAGAAAACGCCAAGCTTCACTTATTTATTTTTAATCCTCTTGAAGGACACTCAATGTTTTGCTGCACTGGCTTTCTGTCCACCAACCCTTGCATATCAGAGAAGTTATTTATTTTCATAGCCTAGAGGAGACAGTCTTTGTCATGCCTCCGGCTAGTGCTTCTAGGACAGGTTTTAAGCCTTCGCTGCCAGCCCTGGGAGCCACAAGGCATGGGACTGTCTGGGGACACACAGTGCCTGGGCCGTGGGGACGAGCGCAGGGTAGACAGGAAGACACCATGTTTGGACATGGAAATGGCTAAAGTGGGATTTTGGGAGGAGTTGCTGACCCTGGGAAATGTCCACACCCTGCTTCTGGGCTTCACAGTCATATTTATGTATTTATTTGGTGGACTTGGGGGTGGGGGGGGATGTCACCTTCTTTTAATGAGCCTGGGTTGGACACAAACACCACCTCCCTTCTCTGCTGGCCGTCCCCCATGGCACCTCCTTCTGCATGGACTTGCCTCTCTCCTGAAGCCTGCCAGTCTGCACCAGGGGCTGGGGACCTTGGGGACAGACATCGAGAAGCTCTTCTTGCCTGGAAATGTCCCCTCCACCTTTTTACACATCTCCTCATGCTCTAGCAGGCCTGTGCTCTCCTGGTGGCATCCAGTGCTGCTTCCAATATGCACGGGCAGGTCTCGGTGTCATCACCCACGTGTCCCCCACCAGACCATGAGACACAGCTTCTCCCCAGGATGTGACAGGGACCACAAAAGGGACGAATGCACAGAGGAGGGATGGTCTGGATGTGTGCCCTGCTTCACCGCGCTCCCAGGAGTTGGGAGAACTGGCCCACAGCAAGGGCTGCTGGTTACTTCTGCAGGCACCTGCCCCCTCCTGCAGTGGCCCTGCAAGGGAGGACGCTGGCTCCCAAATCATCCCCTGCTCCCAGGCAGCTCCCTCAGGTCTGGCAGAGTCCCCTGTGGTGCTGGCAGCAAGCTGGGAGTGGCTCCTGCCCCATGGATGATGCCACGGGCAGGAAAACTGCTGCTTGTCCCCGCTCTGCCCCTGCCACAGGGCAGAGAGCCCTGGCTGTGACAAGCCCCCCGTCCTCCCCGGTGACCCAGCGCCCGGTCCTTCCTCACACTGCAGATCCCATTCAACAGCAGCCCCCTGGCAGTGCAGAGGGTGCTGCAGTCATTATGTTTCAGAGTGAACAGTGAGCTGAAAGGGAACTGTTTGTCACCCTCCCAGGCAGGGACAGTGCTGTTGTGTGCCTGTTTGAGTTTGGGGCCATTTCTGGCAGCAGCTGTGGGGTCCTGGTGACAGGGACAAGAAGAAATGGGCACAAACTTGTACATAAGAAGTTCCATCTAAACATGAGGAGGAACTTCTTTCCTGTGAGGGTGGCAGAGCCCTGGCAGAGGCTGCCCAGGGAGGTGGTGGAGTCTCCTTCTCTGGAGACATTCAACCCCCCCCGGACACGTTCCTGTGGGACCTGCTCTGGGTGGCCCTGCTCTGGCAGGGGGTTGGACTGGATCATCTCCAGAGGTCCCTTCCAACCCCATAGCATTCGGTGAGATGGGAGGAGGCAGCAGTGCCCCAGGGGAGCCCCAGCCCACACGTTCTCCTCAGCCCAGCCCACAAGGGGACTCGGGGGGGCTGCCACAGCTCCCTCCCCTCCTGCCCTTGGTGCCAGCATCGGGCAGGGTGAGGGCGAGCCGGGGGGGGGCAGGTGCTCATGGCAGTGTGACACCTGGGGCCACACAGGAGAGTGCTGGCAGCAGCCCAGAAGCCATGAGGAGGGGACACCAAGCCCCATGGAGTGAGCGAGAGTGAGCATGGGCCCAGCCGGCAGGCACAGAGATGGCCACAGCTCCCTGAAGCCATGACCTGGGTACAGGAGCACACTCCACCAGTGGTGCATAAATCCACCCTCCTCCTCCTCATCATTACCCAGGGCGGCCATTAATGAGTAGCCAGCTGAAAGCCTAGGGGAGCTATGCCAAATAAACCCCAGGTCCCATGGACCTGTGGCCTCCAGCCCCCCCAGCCCCTCCCTGGTGGCCTCTGTGCCCTGCAGCCCCCACACGTGGGGAGGGGGAAGGAAGAAAACCTCAACCAGCTCCAGAGCTTTGCCAGCGTTGGGTTCGGTATCAACACACGAGGTCAGTGACGTCTGTGGCAGCAGGTTTGGCTCTGTTTCCCTGCCCCCTTGGCCTCAGCCCAGTGTTTTTATCCCAGGGCTCTGGTCAGAAACTGCCCGTGTGAAATCAGCAGCAGTTCTCACCACAGACCTGCTCCTTGTACCTGGTCACGGTGTGCTGGGCTCTGGGCAAAGGGCAGCGCTTGCGTCTCTGTGTCGCGGTTTGCAGCCAGTGCTGGCAGAGCCGGGAGAAGAAAGCGGCTGCCCGTGCCCATGCCCACCCCGTGAGCAGAGCCACCAGCTCTACCTCTGAGCTCAAAGCCTGGCGAGGTCTGGGAGGAGCACACGGACACGTGTCCTGCAGGGCACAGGGAGCCTAGGGCCACCACCCTGGGCTGGTGGGACAATGACACACCAACACCGCTCTGCCAAGAGTGAGGGGCTCCAATGGAGACATCCCCTTGTGACGACCAGTTAGATGGTCCCTGCCACTCCCCTGCGGGGGACTGGGTTCAATCTGCTGCGCTGTGCCAAAGCCATGGGTCAACGGGCCTGGCAGCTAACAACCTCCTTAGTCCAATGGTGCAAAGGTCTCCAGCCCAGGAGGCACCCCCAGGGGCTGGGATGCCAGCCTGGTTGTCCCCAGCTCTGGGGAGAAATATGCCCCGCAGGCACACAAGGCTCTGAACCCACCCCCTGTTCCCCTCCATGTCTCCCAGCTCAGACCTGTTTGTCCCCCAAAGGCTCTGGGATGGAGCGGGAGCCCCCAAACGCCCCCCAGGCAGCAGGGGCAGTGTGCCAGCACCCACGCAGCTGGCACCGTGCTGAGAGACCCCCCGAGAGCTGTGAAACCCCATTCCTGTGGGAACGCCAGCCTGGTGCCAGCCCCATCCTCCCACTGTGTGCGTCGCTGTGGTTGCCTGCATGGAGATGGCACCCGTAGCATAGCGCGTGTCGCCGTGTACACCCGGACTGCTGTGGGCTTGCCTCAAATAAAGATGGTGATGAAATACTCAGCTGGTCCTGGGGCGCGCTGGGGTTCCCCGATTCCTGGCCAGGCACAGGGTCCCCATCTTTGGGGAATCCCAATGAGAGGTGCCTGATTTGGGGTGCTGGGGCTGAAGCAGCAGCACGATGTCAGCAGCAGCACGATGGAGAGGGAGCTGCAATCAGCTAAATTTGGAGCCTGCAGGGGGTTTTTTTTGTTTTGTTTTTGGGTTGTTTTGTTTTCCTGAGTGCACTCTAAATTTAGCAGGTCCCAGTCACCATCCCCTCTCCCAGCCCTGGCTCTCCAGGGGCTTTGGCTCTTCCTGGGGCACCCCTGAATCCGCCCACCTGCCTGCCCCACAGCTGTTCTCAGCCCCCATCATCTCTCCCTGCAAGACACCCGGGGTGCTGAGCAGCGCTGGGGCTGGTGCAGGCCCACAGCCACCGTGGGTCACTGGTTGTGCCCAGCTCTGCAATGACCTAGCTCGTCTCCAGCATCCCTCCTTGCTCCCTGGCCCAGGTTTTGCCACCCGCCCATCCATGTGTCATCTGCTAATTTTACCAGAGGTGATTTAATCGTAATGGCAGAGGGGAAGTGAGAGTGCCAGCGCCTGAAGAGCCCCCCGGGAGTGTTCCCCAGGCAGCAAGGACACTCTGTGCCCTCTGCGTGCTTCCCCCCGCCCAGCCCACAGGCACCTGACAGGCACTCTATCCTTGCATCCCCCCTGCCATTTCACCCAGGACACAAAGGGAGACAAGCTACCTGCGGTTACCAGTGTCATCCCAGGGGGATGGTGGTGGCCCTGGAGAACTCTGGAAGCTCATCAGTCCACCAACATCAACAGAGAAATTCCCACCAGCAGCCCAGAGACATGTTGGGCAGCTCCCCCAGGACACTGGCAAGCCCATGACCTGAGGCTAAGCATTTCAAAATGGTGAGCAGGAGCCAACAGGTTTCCGAACCCCTGAGTGTCTTCCAAAGGTCCTAGCTGAAGGCTTATCTCCTTCCCAAGCTGAGAAGAGCAACTTTTAAGTGAGCACTATCCATTGTTTTCCCCTTTTCCAGCAATAATTTCCCAGTCTCGCTCAAAACCAACGTGAGGCCTCCACACAGTTCATTTATCCTGCGCAACCTGCTGTGTCCTCCACAAGCAACCAGCAGGCAGTCTCTGCAGTGGATCTCCACACCTTCAGCTACAGATGGAGAAACTGAGGCACTCGGGAGAGCACCGCTGGGGCGGGGGGCCTGGCAGGCCCCCAGCAGCGTGGCTTTGTCCTAAGATCACTCCTGATCCTCTGAGTTATTTGCAGTTCTGCGAGGGCTTGTGACCGTGAGCCTGCATGCGGGGATCTGTGGCCAAGGCAGCCCGAAAGCCCTCTCCATGTGGGACCTATTTTCCCTACGGCCTCCTCCAACGAGCCCTTCCCAAAGGCAAACCAGCCTCCAGGGTGCCTGCGGGGGACAGGCTGCCGAGGCCAGCGCTCAGGCACGGGTTAGCCCCAGGCTCGCAGGGGGACCCGTGTGATGCTGCCCTAGTGGTGCGAAACCGCCTCCCCAGACAGCAAGGGGGGCCCTGGGCCTGCTCGGTGGGGACCTCACGGAGTGCGAAGCCAGAGGTCCGCCCCGTCCGCGGAGCTGGCTGTGCGGCGGGTTCCGGGGCACGGCATGCAGGGGGCAGGTCCCCATCGGATCCCTCGGGCTGTCCCACCGACTCCCCGAGGCCGCCCGTTAGCCCCCCCAGCCTCCTCGCGGAGGAGCCTGCGGCCCCTTTAAATCCTGCGCTGCCCCAGCCCCACCCGCCGGCCTCTTCCCCCTTCTATTTTTTTATGAATGAAAAACGTTCTCGGCAGAGCCATGCAAATCACCGCTCGTCCATTGGCTGCCGCCGCCCCCGCCCACCCAGCCGGCCTCAATGGTGCTCGGCGGTGCGGCGCGCGGGCGGGCGCGCCGCGACGCAGCAGCCAATCCGAGGGCGCGGGCGGCCGAGCGGCGGTTCGCCATTGGGCGGCGCGGAGGGTAAACAAGCGGCGCGGGGCGGGGCGTGTCGCGCGGAGGCCGCTGGCGGGGGGC